TTATCTTTATTTTGCTGTTTTCCCTCCTACCATTTCTTAGAATCATGAGCTCTTACATTTCATGAGCAGTTTCACCCCAGCTGCGTTTAAATTCTCAACTAGTTCATCCTTATTTGTCAGAATCAAATCTAAAATAGCCTCTCCCCTAGTTGCTCTCTCCAACTTTGTAATAAAAAGTTGTCTCCAATGCATTCCAAGAACTTGTTGAATAATCTGTGCCCTGCTATATTATTTTCCCGACACATGTCTGAGTAGTTGGAGTACCCCATCGCCACCAAGTCTTGTGCTTTGGATGACTTTGTTAGTTGTTTAAAAAAATCCTCATCCACTACTTCTTCCTTATTAAGTGGTCTATAGTAGACATCTACCATGACATCACCCGTGGGGTTTTTTTTGGTTGTTGGGTTTTTTTTACGCCTTTTATCCTTACCCAGAGACTTTCAGCAGGTCTGCCTCTCACTTCCATTTTAACCTCAGTGCAAGAGTATACATCTTTGATACACAAAACACCTCCCCCTTTTCCCCTCCCTATTCATTCTGAACAAGCTGTACTGTTCTATACCAATATTCCAATCATGTGAATTATCCCACCAAGTCTCTGTGATGCCAATTATGTCGTAATTGTGATTACTCACTAGTATTTCTAGTTCTTCCTGTTTATTCCCCATATGTTTTGCATTAGCATACAGATATCTAAGACAGTGATTTTCAACCTGTGGCCCATGAACCCCGCAGATTATGTCTAAGGAGTCTGCGAAAGGTGACTATGAAAATAAAGTTTCAGATCCCAGAAAAGACATTCAGTTTTTCTGATCAATCAAAAGTATGTGAATACTCCCACCTACAGGTCAAAACCCAGAAGTAAGTATTACCATAGAAGCCCACAGTTTAATGCCCTTTCTCACGCTGCATCAAATGCCAGGCCAAACATGTGCAACATTGATAGCTGAATTCTATTCAGTAAGTTTTCAGTCTAAGATTTCTGTGATAGGGGTCCCTGGACCACCAGTTAAATTTCCAAAAGGGGCCATACCTCCATGTGAAATTTTTTCGGGGTCTGCAAAAGAAAAAAGGTTGAAAACCGCTGGACTAAGATGTTAATTAGATTTCTCCTCTATATTCCCTCCTTTGTCCTTGCTATGATTGCCTTTGTTCCCCCCAGGTTCTGACCCTTCACTCTGGTCTCCATGTTCTGGACTTACCCATGGGCTTTTGTCTCCTGCCCCCATCGAATCTGGTTTAAAGCCCTCCTCAGTCTGCATCCAAAGATACTCTACTCCTTCTTTGATAGGTGGACCCGGTCTCTACTCAACAGACCTTCTCAGAACAGCATCCCATGTTAGAAAAGCAGAAGCGCACCTGGCGAGACCATCTGCGTAGCTGTGGTTCACCTCCAGGTTCTGTTCGTCTCTGCCTGGGCCCCATCCTTGGAAGGCTGGATCAGAACATCACCGGTGCCTCCAACTCCTTCACCCTCACACCCTGTGCCCAGTAGTCACTTCTGATCTGCTCAGGGCCATACCTTGCAGTATCATTAGTGCCCACATGGACGAGCAGCATGGGGGAGTAGTCGGAGGGCCGGATGATTCTCGGCAAGCCTTCCGTAATGCCTTGGTTATGGGCCCCGGCAGGCAGCACACTTCCCGGGATGCCAGGTTAGTCTGGCAGATGGATGCCTGTGTCCCCCTTAGAAGGAAGTCACCAACCACCACCACCACCCTTTGTTTTCTCTTAAAAGTGGGGCCACAATCCTCATTGCCTTAGGGGTACATAGTTTCTCCTCCTCCATGTTTGGGAGAGATTCCTCATCCTTCTTTGCCTGGGCAGTATACTTTTTTTTTTTTTAATCTGTGTGGATGGTGGGTTGGGGGCAGGCATTGTGCACTGTCAGCTGCCAGAAATAACAAGCAGCAAGCTCTCTCCCTGTGAAGGAGCCATTTCCTCCTTCCCTGGTGGTGCTACTGAAATCTTCTCTGTCTGGATTGCTTCCTCGGCTTTGGAGATTTCTATACGCATATTTTCAATGAATTCCTCATGTGCCTGGATACATCTCTGCCTAGTTACCTCCTCTTGTAGCTCTCCCACATGCTTCCTGAGAGATTCTGCAGGTAGACACCTCTCTGCAGATCCACACCAGTACCTAGGTAGAGGCATCCATAGTTGGATTCTCTGTCTGGACAGAAGTGCAGCTGGAGCAATCAGGAGCAGTGTTGGCACTGGTGATTGTATTTCATCTCAAAAACAGAAGTAAGTGCTCTGCTGGCTTCCAGAAGATTTAAAAAAAATGCCCAGAAATGGTGGAGAATTAAACATTTTCATTTAGAAAGGCTCTATCCCTTTTCTTTGCAGGTAGTCCTCAGGATATAAACTGATTGATTACATCAGAGGTTTGTCATGGTGTTTTTTTCCCCATTAAAAGACAGAATAATAAAAGGGCAGTGGATTTCCCTCTCCCTGCTCCTCCAGTCTCTCTTTTTCTAGTTGTACACTTGGTTCTTGATAATTGAATAATTGTTAAATGAAATGGTAGCATATAACAACTATAAGAACCGGTGGTGTAATGTGTTTGCACAAATCATATCTTTTCAGTTGCGGTTTTGTCCTGTGTCCATTCTTGAACACATTTGCAGTTCCACTAGCTTTTGGGAACCTATCCCACAGAGGGGATTGTGGGAAAAATTGTCAGGGTTCTAGAATTCCCAAGAAGAAAATCATTAAGTCCCCCTAATGTGGGTGCCATTTTCTAGTCTTCCTTTTAAATATATATATATATATATATATATATATATATATATATATATATATATATATATATATATATATATATATATATATATATATATATATATATATA